AAACTCCAGGAGACTTCAAAAATGCCTTTTCTCGACTTCCGGGTTTTGGCGACTTGCAGGCGGGTGCGCTCCATCGTTGCTCTGATGTGAGCAGACCGCAAACGTGCCGATGGGGAGGGGTCCGAGTTGATCTTGGACCCTCGCGACCCCTTGTAAGGAGGTCATAGTCTGGGGCACGTGAGGTGCCTCTCCCAAGGCGAATGCCAAGGGATCAAGGCTCCTTTTTGCCCTGATAGGTTCCCGCGGCACGGAGCCAGCAATGGCACCTAGAGGCGCATACCGGCCTGTGCGCGCAAGTGATCCAAATGAAACGATCTTCTCTACATCATAAGTGCACGTAAAAATGGGAGTGAATCCACGAGTTAGCGAGCAACCACCTAAATCCCGAGTAAAGCCGCCCCAAAATCCCAAATAAGTGGAAGGGGGAGGGGAATCTAGATCCCGAAAAAAAACTGAGTTAAAAGCGAGGACTAAGAGGGCGGCTTGAAGGGAACGGATTTTAACTGAGTGTGTTGTGGATTAGCAAGAAAGCACTTATTACCAGACGTTCAGAGACTTCTGGAAATTTTTCGCTCACTGTAAACAATGACACGGCAAGCAGAAAGAATGGCGGTGAAATTGAAACTTACAACAGGAACTACCAGCACATCGTCTCCTGTTACTAAACCGGAAGTAACCATAGACTTTTCCAAAATGATTGCTGCAACTCTGCGCCCCCTACTGGACTAGATGACCAACTTCAATGACAAGGTTGATACGTTGCAAAAGGAGCTTAAAGAAACTTCAGAAAAAACAGAGAAGTTAACAAAGAAGCGGAAAAAAGTTGACGTTAAGTCCAAAGACTCTGAACAAAAACTGGAGGTAGTGGAAAAAGAAAAAATCTCTGAAAGGCAACAATTGCTACTTCTTCAAATGGAAAAATCAGGGTATGTCCTGAGATTTCAAAACATTCTGGAACAGAAAGGAGAGAACCTGAAAGAGATTTTAAGTGAAGAGCTCGCTCCCATGGTAGGCTTAACAGCGGAAGTGATACAAAGCGGTATGGATATGGTATATCATACTTATCCAGAATTTATACAAAACAAAACCAACAAGCTATCCAGGGAAGTATACACGAAATTCTCAAAAAGGTCAATGAGAGACTTAATTTTGAAGGCAACAAACGGAATTGTCTTGAAAATCAAAGGAGAACAAATCAAAGTTTTAAAAGACGTTCCATTTGAGATCAGGAAAAGGAGACAGTACAGAGACTTAACACTGTTTTTGCAAAATCACACCACCCCATACAGATAGATATTACCAGAATGCCTTATCTTCAACTACAATGGGAAAAAAGAAAAGATTGACTCTGTTTCTAAACAGAAAGCGAGTGATGGATCTGAGAAAGTGGAGGACAACAAAGATGCAGAAGAAGAAGATAAAAAGGGGGGAAGTTCTGACAGTGCTGCGAACAGCTCGGCAGAATCCTCTAACCAGGAAGCAGAAATAGGGGCTGCTGCTCCTAAACCTTTCAAAGTTAGACTGGACTTTGATAAGAAGCACAGAGGAAAGAAATAAGCAAAAGAGAGTAATTTTGAAAGTCTGAAGTTTATTACAAATAAGTTATTTTAAAGCTAAGAAACTCACACTTTAGCCAATCAAGACTGTGTTTGCTCACTTTATACTTTTATACTTTTATAGTATTAACTCTCATGTATTGCTATTTGAGTAATAGGGAAATATTGATTATCATGAATTTATGTATTAATGATCCTTGCTACTTGTAGTTTTAGCTTGTTCCCTTCCCTTGACCCTGTAGGTTTGTAGAATAGAAAAAGCAATAAAAATGTTTTTTTTAAAAAAATTATATAAAAAAGCCTTTTCTCTGCATTTCATTTGCTACTTGGGCAACTGTACACAAGTAAGTGGTTTCAGGGTTCTATCCCAGAGAGCTAATTTAAGATGGTCATAGGGCTCTTCAGTAGATTACTCATGTAATAACTGATGATTTCAGCTGAGCTAAGTAGCTTGACTAAACAACTTTTAATTTGCTAAACAAGATGACTAGCACTTTAGTTCTGGAAGTGGCAGATTGTGCAGCTCTCTCTCTAGATTCTTAATACGTCTTTGTAAAGTCTTCAGGCAGGGCGGTTGGGTAAGAATGCCAACCATTCCATGTGTGTCACCACAGTTTACATTCTTCTACAAATAAATATCTGATTCTCATGAATAGTTTAGTTTCTTCAAGCAACTTTATACCATTTATACCAGTAACCTATGAAAGCTGGCTTTATCCCGACAATCATTGTTAACAATAAAATGTACAATTTTAGTAAGGAGCAGTGACAAAGGGTATTATATTGGCAAAATGATGGGGTAAAAAAATCAGTGTGTGATGACTCTAAACATATCAGATGTAACTGTGAAATCAGGTTTCAGTTGTAGGTGAGATTGAGGGGGCAAGCTGGCTGAATTCAGCCTTATTCTTCTCCTTACTGTAGACCCTGTCTTACATGGTCCATGGAGATTACATGGTCCATGGAGGTTCCATTATTCTCAGCATAGCCCTTTGGGGTCAAAAGAGACCCCCTATTTGCTTTTTGTACAGCAGAAACAGATGGATCCAACTCATAAAATAGTTATGGTTCATTTTCCTTGATAGGAAGTTAATTACAATGCTAGTTTTATAAACAGAGGACCTAGTGTTTATAATTTTACTTATATTAATTTTAAAATGTAATTAGCACAGTCAACCCATTGGAAGAATAAAATTGTATTCATTGCACACCCTTGGTATACCAATTATTGATGAATATCAAGTACAACTTTAATATGAATTTAACGTATGGGAGGCAAAATTTAATGGGGGATCCTGGAAGAGCTTAAGATTTGAGAAGCAGTTGTCTTCACTAAAATTTATGAGCTTTTAAATAAATTCAGGGATGTGATGCTGTTTAAAAATGTAAACTTAATAAAATATTCAATAGGCTCTGTTATCTAGAGAAGTTAGGCATGTTCTTAATATGCCATTCAAGAATAATAGGCTGTACTGCATTCTGATATTTATTTAGAAAACGTTATTCCACCACTCCAGGAACCTGCCCATGATGGCTTACAAAATAAAATCAAAACATTAAACAACATTAATAAAAATTCAGCATTAAAACTCAGCTCCAAATAAAAACATAGAGCATAAAAACAGACCAACAGGTTAAAGTAAGTCTCTGGACTAAAATGCTGTTAAAAGATCAACTCCTTAATTAGAAGCCTGGGTGAACAGAAACTTTTTGGCCTGGCCCCAGAAGAAAACAATGTAGTTGCCAAATGATCCTCAAGGGAATGGGTATTCCATAAATGAGGTGCAACTACTGGGAAAAGCCCTGTCTGTGTTGGCCACTTGTTTCACCTCTAAAGGCGAGGGCACCAAGAACAAGGCTTCCTTCTGGGGCTGGTCTTAACCAGCAGGCTGGACAGTATTGGAGGACATAGTCCTTCAAGTACCCCACGAATACCCTGGCTACAGCCATTTAGGGCTTTAAAGGCAAGAACAAGTACTTTGAATTGTGTCCTGAAACCAATGGACAACCAGTGCAGATTTTTCAGCACTGGGGTGCTATGATCCCTGTATCCCGCCCCGATAGTAGCCTGGCTCCTGCATTTTGGACGAGTTGAAGTTTCCAAATTGTTTTTAAAGGTAACCCCATATAAAGCACATTACATAATCTAACCTAATCTGGAGGTAATCAAAGAGCATTGATCACCGATATTGTTGACCTTTTATATACGATGAGCCTGCAGGGACTGCATACTAGATATGCTTGTACTTTCGTTAGTTTTGTGCATGCGTTGATATTTGGAAAATGGTATTGTATTGACCTGGATTCCTGTCGGGGGAAGGGGTTAATGCTGTTCTTTTGTGGAAACCCATAATAGAGGGAAGAAAAACTTTCCCTAAAAATATAACAGTAATATAAAATTTCCAGCTACATTGTTGTGGGGAATTTTTTTCTATAATTATATTGTTTCAGAGAATTACTGACGTCTACCCAGGGGTCATTTCGTAGAAAAAGAGGTGCAGGAGCTCATTAGCATAACTCATTAGCATAACTTATTTGCATATGCCACACCCCTGACATCACTGGAAGTGTGTCAGAAGGCAACACCCGCTGCTCAGGCTCCACTGGACTGTTTTGGATTGCTACCTATTAGAGGGGGGGAAGGAACGTGCAGATCTGTCTTTGCAGAGGAGGGAGAGCTTGTACCTGAATAAAACTGGGTCTTAAAGGTGCCACTGGACTGTTTTGGACCCAGGGGGAGCTCTGCAACTTACCGGGCTGCTTCTTGCTCTGACTGAGGGCTGCTGGGAGCAGGGGGTGGGGCTTGTTGCATGTGCCTGCCCCCTGGGCTCTTTACCTGCGGAACTCTGCTCCTGTGCACTCCTGCAGGAAATGACCCCTGCTTCCACCTAAAGTTTAGTCATGACTAAATCTCATAACTTTTTGTTTAAATGTGACCACATCCCTTGGCACCAGTGGCACAAATAACTTTAGCAGCACAGAAGCCTCAAACTAGTAATTGTTGGTAGTATTCATCTATGGATTTGATATTACAATGTATAGATCAAGCTAATATTTGGTTTTGGGTTTTTTTAGTTTTATATTCGCTTTGTAAGCTGCCCTGAGTTTCCTCATAGGGTAGTAAGTTAGGATAGAAGTTTTGAAATAAAAATTACTCTTTCCAGTGAAAATCTAGGAAGTGTAGAAACTTCAGATTTTCACACGGGACTAAATCACTGGTAGGGAAACTCATTTTCATGTTGGGTGTAGTGAACCCTGAGGCATTGAACTGTAGACAACTAATGTGTGTGCAGCTTTGTACGCTTCAGTGGTTACTGTGCTCTGTGGTTTTTCACGAGTATGCTAATGACATATTGTGGTTTTCAATACTGGCCAATTTTAAAGACTTTCAAAATGTAAATGTTTGCCTGTACAGTAACTTTTGTTCGTTTGTCTTGGAAACAGGGATTTTAGATAGTATGGCATCTGAAGCCCAAAATGTTAGAAAACAGAACCTATTGTACCTTGAGGGTCGTCCTGTTGATCTCCGTAGAAAAAGGAGCTCTCATTTCATTAATGAGAACATGAAGGAGGTAAGTTTATTCAGTTGGTTTTTTTTCTTTACTGCGTTTATACCCCCACCTTTCTTCCCAATGGGGACCCAGCTCAGCTTATGTCATTCTCCTCTCCTCCATTTTATCTCATAACAAACATATGTGGCATGTTAGGGTTTGACAGTGTGACTGGGTCACAGCAAGCTTACGTGGCAGAGCCGGGATTCAAACCTGGGTGTCCTAGATTTATTTATTTATTTATTAGTTTGATTTATATCCCGCCCTCCCAAAGCTCAGGGCGGCTCACATGAAGATATTGTACAGCATACTATAGTATTCAGTCTAGACTCTCATCTAGAATATATAGTTTGTAGTCTAATTCTAGCTTGTACATCAACGTGAATATCAGTTCTGCAAACACATCACACTAATGGTTGATCTCCTTTTTATCCCACCCTCTCTGTGAGAGGAGCTCATTACATCATAAGTGGTTCTCTCCTCATAACAAGCTAGGTTAGTTTGAGAGAGTATATGGCAGGTCCAAGGTTGCCCAGTGAGCCTTATGGCTGAAAGGAGATTTCATTCCACATCCCATCATGCATTCATTGTAATGCATTATTAAAGTCAGTGTGAGCTTTATGTGACCAGTACTTGCTTCTTACTTTATGTACAGCTTTTGCCAAACACACCAATTCTCCTAAAAAAAATGGCACATAATTATAGCTTCACACAAAGGCATTAAGCCAGAAGCCGAATATATTGTAACTTCCAAACTTTTATGAGTAGAAGAAGGTGCCAAGAGGATTGGTTGGGAACTGCTGCCCATAATTTTGAGACTTTTGGGCCTCAATATATAGAGCCAATGTATTGTAAAGAACATAACTGTCCAGTGTGTCTTGCCTCTAACTTAATCATGCAGGCAGTTATACGGATCACACTTCAGCTTGGTTTTCAGAATTTGTTACATCTGAGCAATGAGGGGGTCCCCTGCTTTGTCTGAGGGAATCCTAGAACTGCTGCTTTTGTCATTGGCACATGGGCCAGCCACCTTACTGTTAGATACAGTGATGACAGATTTTTGAAGAATACACTCGGGCTGGCTGTTAGTGTTGGCTAACATACAGAAAATAACAGCTAAATCTATCTGGAAATATTTCTGAAACATAAATTCTGCATGCTATATCCAGTTGACAGTAAGATATCTGGGACTGTTACTAGTCCCAAAGTTGTAAATAGGGATGGGCATGAACCACTTGACGAGCCAAGATTTGGGTCGAATTTGGGCCCGATCAGGGCTCGGGAGGTGACGTTCGGCATTGCATATGGTCTCCAAAGAAATCTGCAAGCTTTTGGGTGTGTTTCAGGGCTGTTTTGAAAACAAAACCCACCCAGAAACTCTAGCATGAAAACAGTAGACAGTGGTGGGGGTGGTGTTTTCCAGCCTTGGAAACAAATAGGGACCCTGCCTGTCAATAACGGAGTTTCCATTTGTCGCAAGGGGACTGAGATCTATGTAAGTGTAGGACAGGCACGTGTTCCCTTTGTTGGTGTTGTGGTTTTGGGCAGAGAGGATTTACTCCTGAAAGAGCTTTGCTGCTGGGCGTGGTGGAGGGATTGCTTAGCTAACTTACTCAATTGGGGCCAGGGGGCTTTGCTTTGTCCTCTGTGTTGTGATTAGTTTGTTTGTTTGCTGCAAAGTGTGGAGAAATTGGGATTGAATTCTTCTTTCACGTAGCATATTTGTTTAGTGGGATTTTCCTGCTGTCTCCTTCCTTGGTGGTTTCCCTTCCTTTTTCTTTTCACTTTATTTCACCCTCCCCCCACTTTGGGTTGCAGTAAGACAAGGAATTGATCTTTGGGTATTTTTTTCAGGCTGCTTGGGGGGGCTTCAACAATTCTCTGCCATTTCATCCCCCCCCTCCAAACACAGTGGGCTGCTTTTTGTTTTGGAGGGATCTGTGTTTGTCTTTACTGCCCACTGCTCTCCCTTTCAACCCCCCCCCCCGACCTGCTTCTCCTTGGGGTGTGATCTGTGTTTGTCAGTCTGCCTCCCTACACCCACCCAGCCTTGGGGGACTTGTTCCAGAGTTACTGGGGTGACTTCCCTTTATTCCCAGCTCTTCATCTGAACCCCTCTCTACTGACCTGCTTCTCCTCGGGGGGGGGGGGTGATCTGTGTTTGTCAGTGTGCCTCCCCACACCCACCCTGCCTTAGGGGACTTGTTCCAGTCCTGGGGAGTGTCTTGGGGTGATTTTAGTGCCCAGCACTCCACACCTAGTTTGAAACCTCCCCCCAGCTGACCTGCTTCTCCTCTGGGGGGCCATTAATCTGTGCCTGTCTGTCTGCTGTCCTTTTGGTGTGTCTGTTTCCCTCTCTGGCAGCTGACCCAACCAGGCTGCGATTGGGTTGGGTGCTTGCTTGGTCAGGTGTTCAGCATCATGAGAGGGGGTGGAAGGGGTTGTGCTCATGGCCAAGGGAAGGTGTCATCACCCTGTGCCAAGTGGTTGTGGGCAACAAGCACAGCCTCCCCCCCCCCCAGTGGAGGACATCCCCAGCACATTGTTGGGGGTCCTGGCACCCATTTCCCCTGCTCTTTCCACATCTATGGGGTCTCAACTGCCTCTCAAGAGTTTTTGGCGTGGCCACCTAAGCTGCAGCACAGAACTCTGTTTGGAAGGGGGGATAGTGATGGCAGTGACTTGGAGGGGGGGTGATACATCCTCCCCTTCCACATCCCAAGATTCCCAACTTCCTGCTGCTCCTGCTTCCATCGGTACACCCCCATTTAACACTCCCCTGCCCAGTGCCAGGAACCTGCTGTGCCTCCCACCTGGTCCAACTATAGGTGTGGGGGCATGGTTCCACTCCACTGCATGGAAATACTTCGCACCCTGGGGAGTGACCCATGTGTGGTGGAGTGCCAGGTATGCCGTGCCTGTGGAGGGGCTGGGACCCACAACATTTTCTCTGGAGGCACCTGCAAAGGGCACACCCAGTTTGTTGCTGCCAGAGGAAGGAGTGTGGGCCACTAGTGGGAGGCAGAAGAGGTCATTTATAGTCAGCAGAGAGAGGCAGGGGGAAGAGCAGGCCACTCAAAGAGGTGCTCCAAGTACTGTGGGTGGGACTACAAGGCAATCCACCCACCCACCCCCAAGAGGTCATGCTTCCCAGGAAGCCATCAGTGCTGGGGAAAAGGGCAAGGGGGAGGGCTCAGGAACAGTGTTCCCTCTAAGCTGAGTTAGTGTGAGCTAGCTCACAGTTTTTTAGCCTCTGGATCACACGTTTTTGTCTTAGCTCAGGAAGGATGGCTCCAGAACAAACTAATTTATGCAGTAGCCAAATCACTTGCTCACAACTTTAATGCCAGTAGCTCACAAAGTAGAATTGTTGCTCAGAAGATCACTCAGCTTAGAGGGAGTATTGCTCAGGAAACAATCACTCGCCTAATCAGCAAGATAATTGCCATGGATGGCCAACTGTTCTCCTTTGTGGAGGATGTGGCCTTTTGCCAGCTGATGTGCCATGTGGTTGCCTGGTACACCATCCCATCTAGAAGGACCATGAGCCGATCTGGGGAGGCAAGGCACTGGCTCTTTTGGCCCTTGAGGGAGAACATAAGAGAAGCCATGTTGGATCAGGCCAATGACCCACACAGTGGCCAAAACCCATATACCATCAGGAGGTCCACCAACGAGGCCAGAACTTCAGAAGCCCTCCCACTATTGCCCCTCAAGCACCAAGATCACTGCCCCAGATAGTGTTCCATCTATACCTTGTGGCTAATAGCCACTGATGGATCTCTGCTCCATTTGTTTATCCAGTCCCTTCTTGAAGAGGTCTATGCTTGTAGCCGCCACCACTTCCTGCACCAGGGAATTTCACGTGTTATGATTCTTTGGGTGAAGAAGTACTTCCTTTTATCTGTTCTAAGCTTACTGCTTGTTAATTTCAGTGAGTGCCCAGGAGTTCTTGTACTGAGAGAAAGGGAGAAAAGTACTAGTTTCTCTACCCTTCTCTATCCCATGCATAATTTTCTAAATCTCTATCATGTCACCCCTCAGTCATCATTTCTCCAAGCTAAAGAGCCCTAACCTCTTTAACCTTTCTTTGCAGGGAAGGTGTGCTACCCTCTTAATCATTTTAGTTGCCCTTTTCTGCACCTTTTCCAATGTTACAATTTTTTTTGAGGTGCGGTGACCAGAACTGTACACAGTATTCCAAATCAGGCTGCACCATAGATTTGTACAGGGGCATTATGATACTGGCTGATTTTTTTTCAGTCCCCTTTCTAATAATCTCCAGCATAGCATTTGGGGGTTTTTTTAAATTGCAGTCGCATACTGAGTCGACATCTTTAGTAAGTTATCTACCACGAGTCCCAAGATCTTTCTCCTGGTTAGTTACCGCTGTTCAGACCCCATCAACTTATATTTATAGTTAGGATTTTTGGCTCCAATGGGCATTACTTTGCACTTGCCCACGGTGAATCTCATTTGCTACATTTGACATGCACTCGCCCAGCCTTAACAAGTGCCTCTGGAGCTCCTCACAGTCCTCATCGTCCTGAACAGTTTAGTGTCATCTGCAGACTCAGCCACTTCACTGCTTACTCCCATCCCCAGATCACTAATGAATAAGTTAAAAAGCACCGGAGCCAGAGGATTCATTGGAGCCAGGACCGGCAGCAACCACTGGACAACTTGCTGCCAGTGGACTTGCATGACTCACCCAGGCTCAGCTGCTTGCAGTAGCCACCCCAGAAAAGCCAGTGAAGTGTATCGCTTAGCGTTTCAGTCTAGGATCTGGGACACCCAGATTTGAACCACCATTCTGCTATGAAAGCTGACTGGGTGACATGGGCCAGTTACACATTGTTAGTCTAACTTACCTCACAGGCTTGTTGTGATGATAAAAAGGAGAAGAGAATGATGTAAACTGCTTTCGGTCCCTATTGTGGAGGAAAGCAGAGTATAAGTGAAATATAGCAGAGGATGGGGGGCTGACTAAGCTAGGTTGTTCAGTGAGTGGGAAGAAGAGAAGGAAATAGGGAAAGGTGACAATATGGGGTTTGCCAGGAGGAAGGAAAGACAAAATAGTGGGGGAAGGGGATACAGGGGAAAATGAGGGGTAGAAGTCATTGTAGGTTCCTCACCACGCAACTGGGCTGCTGGCACTGCACAAATGGGCCATAGATTTCCCAGGCAGAGGCTGCTAAGGGAGGGAGAAGGGAGAGCTGAAGATGGGGGAGGGGGCATGAATAAAGGTAGGTTAGCCGGCAGGTGGGAAGGAGAGAAGGAAGCAGGAAAAGGAGCAATGCTATGGGAGCTTTCAGAGAAGGGAAAGAAGAAACTGGGGAAGGGCAAGTGAGATGCCCTCCCACCCCCACAAGTCCTTGCAGGTCTGCCTGTTTAACTGATATTACATTGACATCAGTCATCTAATAACTAAACTTCATAGTAAGATATAGTTGAGATTTTTATGGAAGAACAATATTTCCTTCCCCCTACATGTCTTAAGAATCTATGCCAACATTGCCATCTTTTGTTATTTATTTTATGATGAATGATAAAGTAGGAGATTTGGTTCATGGATTTACCTGCCATGCAAGAACCCAGAAGATGTGTTGGGATATGAATTTAACATTTAAATTCTCAGACATTTAACTAGATTATATATTACTATATAAAAAGCAGAAAACGAATGGAGCATACTGCATTGTCTTAAATATGATGAATATCAAGAGAAGCGAACCACATTACCTTTTCTGAGCAACCAGCATACAGTTGTCTGAGGAATAGCAATGTCTTGTTCTGTGAGAACCGGGTAATGTGTCCCTTTTTATAGTCAAGAAGAACGTACTACATGATATGCTACAATGACAAAGTTTTTCTCATACAGCTGATGTCACAATCCCAGCTCTTGCCAAGGATGTCACAATATCCTGGCCTTCAACTAAGTGTCAGGGCAGCCATTGGTGGTTTGGTTCGTCAAAACAATAAAAAATAATTTTTTCCCTCAGTACCAATTGTACAGCACTGTGTACTGTAAACCAAGGAACTTGTGGCAGCTTTTTCAATTCAGTCTCTTTAACGTATGCTTTTATTTCTAGGGTAAGAAACCTGCAAAACATTTGGCTTCTTGCACAAGCAGGTAAGAACGGCTTTTGTTAATTCTGGAAAAAATCATTTTACTGTATACCTCCACTGTTCAAATATAGAAAGGGGTGGGGCAAGTCATCCTCCTGAGCTATAATTGTGGAGCGGGGTGGGATTTAGACCTGTTTCTTACAACTAAGTTTAATGGGATCTTGGTCTGGATCTTGATCTCTGATGCAGAATTACATTGAGCAAAGATGGCAGTTGCTCAGTGGTTTAGAGCAGACTTGCACATTTTATGACTCAACACAGCCCACCAGCCCTGTATAGTGGCGTATTGTCATTCCCCATACTGTCTGTTGCGTACCCAGGGGCAGAAAAAGAGGAGGTTTGTTCGACTTCCTGTGGACTGCCAATGTGTTCAGTATAGTAGATTGCAAAGCATGCGGGACTGTTTAAGTGAAGGTGGTGATCAGGCTACTGAAATCACCACTGTCATTAGTAATCAGTTCCTGCCTTCCCTTTATTATAAATGTTCTGGAAGCAATTGGGAGATTCATGAGTAGCTCAGACAACATCAAATAGGCCCAAATTCTGGCTGTCCTACCAGTATAATTGATGTTTAATATAATTAATAAATTCACTTAAACATCCTAGAAGCATGAAAATATGCTGTTTTGGAAAGTAGACATTTATTTCATTATTTTCACCACTTATAGTCTGCCTTCCTCAAACGACGCAAGGCAGATCACACAGACAGCAATAAAACTAAATAAAAAAAAATTACAGCCAGTAAGCAATAATATTGATTTTTTTAGTTTAAAATATTTTATTATTTCAAGCAATCTTAGGGAAAAATGCCAGAAACGATAAAATTGCATATGCATGCAGTATACATGATATTTTGCCCTGCTTGTAACTTCACTGTCTTGTTGTTGTAGAACAACAGTTGGACAAACTGTGACCAGCCCCCATCCTCTCTTCAGAGTAGTATACTGCAAAAGAAAAGTTCTGTATTATTCTCCAAAGCCTTGTTTCAGAAAGAAACAGCTCCCTAAAGTCAGGGGCCGTGACATGGCAAATAAGGAAAATGAACTGGCATGTGCAGGTAATCTGCCAGCAAAACTGCCTGCTGATGGTCGTACGTTCTTACTGAACTCCAGTGATTCTGGGCGCTCTCAAGCAGAAAGTCCTTCATCAAAATATAGTGGATTTTTTTCAGAGGTATGTTAAACTTTATTATGCAATGCTTGTTTTTTTCTTAAAAATAAAAATAAAATCCTGACGCTACAAAATAGAATAGTGTATTTGAGGCTAGCATGCCTTCAAATGATACAAGAGCTAGTATAGTCTAGTGCAGGCCATTTGATTTCACATTTAATCAAGGTGTGTGTTGTGCACAGGAAAACCAGTGAGACTCTGTATTTCATAAAAGTTCTTTTGTATTGCCTTATGAGTTTAGGTGGGTGGCAACCCAGGAGAGGGCCTTTTCAGTCGTGGCACCAAAACTCTGGAACTTTCTCCCCAGGGAGATTCTTCTGTCCCCTTCTGTTGCCATCTTCCATGAGCAAGCAAAGGGTTTTTTTTAATTGTTCGGCATTCTTTTTCATTCCCTCAGCGATCCCGCCTTCTTGACCAATGTTTCAATTGTTTTTATGTCTTTGTATGTATTTTCGCTCTTCTTTTTTAAATTGTTTTAATGTGTTTGGGAGGGTGGTTGATTTTAATTATTTTAAAAGATGGTTTTTGATGGCCATTGTGAGGGCAGAAAGGCGGGATATACATTTTGTAAAATAAAATTGTAAAACAAATTCACCTAAATTCCTGAATAAAAATTACTAGAGACTTCAGACCCAAAATGCACAGCCTTCTTCCAAGTTTCTACAACAGGAGAGGAGCATTAGCACGGTGTCACTATGCTCTGTTTAAGCTAACCATTGCTGTTCTCTCATGTTCAAAATGCAGTGGTGTGCCATGGCTGCTGTGCTGTTCTCTCATGGTCTAACACAGTGGAGTGGTATGGTTGCTGCCCTTGTAGAAAGGAGCAAGTGAGATGAGCAGAGTTTGTGCCATCACTTCTTGAAGTATTATTTGCAAGGGTTACGTTGGGACTGAGTGCCAGGTTTAGCATTAGGATACATGGTATAGAAATTACTACTAAATTGCATAATTACTATTTTTTCAGCATATGACCCAGAACAGGGTTTATTCATTGGTCGTAATGAGACTGAACAGGATTGGGAGAAAATGTAGGAATATCATAATGAAATAGTTCATCACTGTTTTCCATGTACCTAGGTTTCTGAAGATCATGACACTATGGCACAAGTCCTCTTCAGCAGAAATCTCCGACTGAATGTAGCTCTAACCTTTTGGAGAAGAAGAAGTATAAGTGAGCTCGTAGCCTATCTAGTAAGGTAAATATGGAAAAGATTGAGGGCATGATCCAGCCAACTGTAATGGCACCACCCAGATGAGATGAGAAGTATTATATGAACTCCATAGAGTTCTGTTTTTGGTTTTAAATCCTTTCTGAGTGGCAAAGTGACATCTAGGTAGAAATCTGGTAGTGTTGCACATAATAACTCTTTCCTATAATGGCCTCTATTGCTGCCAATTGGTAGGGGGAAGCAAGGCTTTATTGAGCCCGTAGGAATTCTCAGTGGGTACTGTGCCTGCATTGGCCTATACCACACCTTAATAGTAGTTTGTGTGTATGTCTTTAATAAACTGCTATACTTTGCCTGAGAAATATTTGTTCTACCTCTTGAAGTACAGATGTTACTGAGCAGTATCTAACTATCTTTTTTAAAACTGATGTTTCCAGGATACAAGATCTAGGTGTAGTGGTAGACTGTCTTCCTGTGCTTACCAGCAGGTATGTAAAAATCTAGGGGAGAGTTTGAATGGCGTTCACGGTTTAGAAATTGCAAGTTCTTGCATACTAACACTTTCTTGTTTCAGTTTACAGGAAGAAAAACCATATATTTCTGTTGGCTGCTGTGTAGATCTTCTGCCATTAGTAAAGTTACTGCTTAAAAGTAAATTTGAAGAGTAAGTTGAAAAACCATTAACCTTGCTTATGAACAGTTGGATGCTAACAACATTCGATATCTTCTGCAATTTATTGATCCTCCATACATTCATAGAATTACATATCTAGATGGAGCCCAGAGAAAATCTAGTCTTTCTTGTGTTTATGAACTGTAACACAGATGCAACAACATCTTTTCAACTACTCACTTTCTGCTGTCTCCCACACAAGGTATAATTTAGTGAGACTAAATGGTGTTTAATGCAGATTCCATTTTTTAAAAAATTCACACAGAAAAACAAAAGCCTAGGCTTGCTATCGAGTGATCTGGAAGAAATTTTTTTCCTGCCAACAAATGTGATGATCAGCTCTGGAGTGTAAACCCTTCAACTTTACCTCCAAACAGAATGGGTCCCTGACCATTTCCACACTGATTATTTACCCTGGGTTCTGTGCTGTTTGGGAGGGGTTTTTTTCCTGCCTCACCACAGCAGCATGGTGCTTCTGTGTGTCTCCAGAGTTTTCTCTGGCTTTTCTCCAGTCTTTTTCTCAAGCCTGCTTTGTTGCAAAGTTTTGGGCAATATCACAGCAAAGCCATTTTCCAGTGGCAGCCATTTTCCACCTGCCAACAGGGGTCTTGTTTTTTTTTGTTTTGAGCTGGAAACTGGATGTTGTTACAGCATCATAATGTTACATCAATCTATGTATGTGGTTCTCTAAATTCCCAGCTTTCATTTTTTAAAAAAATGTCTCTAGCCCTTTAGTTGCAGATATGTAAGGGAAAAGACATATCTCTGCAATTAAAGCAGTTAGAGAATTGTTTACATTTTAAAAATGAAAGCTGGGAATTCAGAGAACCTGATACACAGATGGATATAACAGTACAATATTCAATAGATTACTGTTTTTTTAAAATAGAAAAGCCCTAGTGGCCAGGTGGAGTGGATAACCACTACTAGGGGACTAGGGACAGGGAAACTGCAGAAAAACATGCATTGTAGAAGCCCTGTTGCCAATGTGATATATTAGGAGCAGCAACTGGAAAGTGGCACAAACCTGTCCTTGTGTGGAGAATACCCATGACATGATAGCAAGTATAGTTGTAGTTTGTAACAGCTTCCAGTCAACTTCCTTCTTTTCCTGTATGGGAACATTCAGTTTGCTGTTACATTGTACAGGTTTCCTTTCAGTTGTGGAGTCTCTTGCAATATTTGTAGCACAGGGCTACACTTTGATGGCCAAAGAGCACATGATTTATTTTTTCCTTATGAGAAACTTATAATAGATTTCTGTAAAATTAACATTCCTGCCTAAGTGTAAATAATTTAAAACAAGCAGGGACTTCCCTCCCTCCACTTAGCTTGTTCATCCCTCCACATTTGGTCTGGTCCCCCCCCCCCACAGGACATGAAAGAAACTCATGGTGGAGACAATCTTGCACACCTTCCCTCACTATAGTTTTTTGCCTCTTCTGCCTGCTGTTCTGCCCACCCCCTCCCCACTACTCTGGCATCCCAGCTGTCTGCCTCCACAACCTCTGCCTCTGCTACTTCCTTATCTCTCTGCCTGCCCCGCTGTGGGGAGCAGCAGAGGCAGCAGCTCTCACTCTCCTTTCCGGGTCACAGACAACACTGCCTTGTCCAGTTCTCTTGGTTGACCAAAGGAATTGTATTGTGTATGATAATGCAGACAGCACTTGCTTGTTCTGGGGTGATCCCCCCCCCTTCATTTTTAAACTTTTCACATTTTCCTGCAAAACTTGGTGGTCCCTCAAGTTAGCTAAAAAATGTTGCTTCTGTGTACATGGCCTTATTCCAGGAATTTAAGTATTTGCAGATGGGGCCATGCTGATGATTAGATATCTTAAGCAGGGGACTCACAAGGACTTGTGGAAGGCATCTCATTTTCCCTTCCCCCACTATTCCTTTTTCCATCACTTGAAAGCCTCCATAGCCTCTTCCTTCTCCCACTTCCTTCCCTCCTTCCCACCCAATAGTCAACCTACCTTTATCTGCCTGCCTGTCTTCAGCTTTCACTTCTTCCCATACCCTGGCAGCCTCTACTCAGGAAGGTTATGCCCAGTGTTGTGCAGTGCCAGCCACCAGGATTTCTCACCAAGATTTCCCCTATATCCCCCTGTCCACATGATTCTTTTTTCCCTCCTCTTCACAACCCCTATAGCCTCACTTCCCCTGCTTCTTTCTCTCCTTCCCACCCCCCAATCAGTCTGCCTTGTATCTGCTCTCCGTCTTCAGCTGTATAAATTTAGTTCATTTATACCCTACCTCTGTCCACAATAGGAACCCAAGGCAGTTTACATCAATCTCCTCTCTTCCATTCTGTCTTCATACCAATCCTGTGAGGTAGGTTACGCTGAGTGTGTGATGACCCAAGGTCACCCAGTGAGCTTCTGTGGGAGTGGTCATTCAAACCAGAGTCTTCCAGATCCTAGTCTGAAACTCTAACCACTCTACACTGACTGTCATGGGTGGCTGCTATTGAACAGTAGTAAGCAAGTCAGTTCTGGATGAGTCAAGTCATATGATAGCAAATTGCTAGTAGTTGCTTCCAGGCCTCATCCGGATGAATCCTCCCTTAAAGCTCAAATTAGCCCTGAAAAGAGCTCTGCACCTCCCATTGGCTTTAATAACAGAAACCATGGTTTGAATGCTGGGAATACTGTTTTGGTCGCCTAGCAACCTCACTCAGAGGGCATTTGTTTCTTAAAGATACAGGAACTATTTACATTATTTTAGAGGGTTTTAACTTCCCAATCAGATTTTTCTACAAACCTGGACATATTTTTCAGGATTGTACACAGGTCTGTCTTTTCTGTTTATGGCTCTAATCCCTGGTTGTAAGTATCCACAGTTTTGACCATGTCGAGAATGTTGACTATTAGATACATTAATATGTATTGTGATATACATGCACTTTACCATGGGAGACCATAAAAGTTGACTGATGTAAGATGTTCTGAATTAACATTGCAATTCCAAATATCTAACATCAGTTAACTTTTATAATCTCCCATGGTAAAGTGTGTATATTTCATAGTACATACTTTCGTCTGTTTAGAATTAGGCAAGGAAAGGATATCAGGACATGTTAATTCTTGTAAAATATACATGAATTCTTGATCACCACTTCAAAACATTAACTCTTGGACTTCCGGTTTTGGTGATCTAATGGCGGACACATCTTTCGGGAGCTCCTGAGGATGCGATCCGTGAGCCAGCAAATGAGAGGGGGTGCGATTGTACACGCGCCCCCGGGGCCCTTGCAAAGAGCTCCTAGCCATGGGGCGCTGAGGATCGCCTCTCCCCCGGCACGGTGCCGGTGGATTGAGGCATTCTGATGCCCCGACGGTCTTGCTGCTGTGTTCCAGTACTGGACTCAGAGACGCACACCGGGACAAGCGAGTGGAGGCCGAGCGTTTTACACGTTTGATGGTGAGATCTACATGATCTACATTGAGAGTGAGTTTGGTTGAAACGAGAACCAGATAAAAGGCTGAAAGTCCCCCCTAAAGTAAGCGGGGGGGCGGGACCCCCCCATGGAAATAAAAATGGACTTAAAGCATGCCTTTTAAAGGGGGGCAGAACTGAAAGTAAAATGGGACTATAGTAAGGAACTTACAAGACAATTACAGGTAATTTGCAGACTTTAGAGACTTTTGGCAAACTTTGTTAAAGGTAAACAGCTTCAAAGATGTCGCTGAAGAAGACGGAGAAAGATAAGCAAATGAAACCTAAGCTTCCTTCAGGAAGTGCTAGCCCAGTGAGTGCGGTCACAGGGCCAGAAACAACCATAGACTTCTCTAAGATGCTAACCGAAGCATTGTGACCCCTGCTGGAGCAAATGACGACACTTAATCAAAACTTTGCTGCACAGCAAAAGCAACTAGATGAGACTTTAAAAAAAACAGAGCAAACAGCTGAGAATCTTAAAAAAGTGGAGGCCAACACCAAAAAGCTCAAAAAGCAAGTGCAGGAGATGGAAAAGAAGAGAAACTCTGATGAAGCCCAGCTTTTACAGGGAGTTCCAGAGACTAAAGGGGAGAATCTTAAACAGATTTTGAGTGATGCTTTAGGACCAGTTGCAGATTTTAAAGCGGATTTTCTTCAAGGCGAAATGGATGTGATCTATAGGTCATGTTCAGAATACATAAAGAAAAATAATCTTCCCAGCAAGGTGGTGGTAAGATTACTTTATTGTAATCATTATATGACCAGCACCTCTTGTGTTTTTAGTGGTTTATCTTTACTTTCTCCCGTATTTATAGTTTCCCTTTCCCTGTTTTCTTGTAGTTTTTAGAAAATAATTTAAAAAACAAATATTAACTCTTGATCACCACTTCAAAGCATCTAATTTTAGTAAGAATTACATGTGGTTTAGTTCTTTGGGGGGCTTCTGGATTCCCAAACTCAACCCATGAAGCTGCCCTGATATTTAGTCAGACCATTGGTCTATCAGGGTCAGCATTGTCTACTCTTGACTAGCAGTAGCTGTCCAGGGTCATATATTGGTTTTTCACATCACTTATTTGATTTTTGTTACTGAAGAAGTGAGATCTTGAACCTGGGCCTTTCTGCATGCAAACTAGATGCTCTACTACTGACCCACAGCCCCTCCTCCATTGAGAGTATCTTCTATAAATAACTTGTAAAATGTAGTAATCTTATTATAAATAAGAGAGCCAGCATTGTGTAGTGGTTAGAGCAGGCCTTAATTTTTTTTGGAGCTGTGAATTAAGGAGCCCAGACATCCATACCAAATACAGTTTTTCTCTATTATATTAACAAGTTTAATGCTGCCTGTAAGTTATAAATGTATTTGACCAACTGGCCTGGAGAAAAATATCCTGTCCCTTTAACAGAGGATTGTTTATTTATTTATTTATTTATTTATTTATTTATACCCTGCCCTCCCCACACGTGAGCTCAGGGCGGCTTACACAGGCACAAAAGTGCGATAAAAATACAAGAAGTTAAAACAATTAAGGCACAAGCGCAGTAAAAGTCAACAGTTAAAACAGTTTAGGCAAAAATGCACATCTCACAGGATACATAATGACTACAATACTTCCTATTGCATATCCCAATGGGGTCAAAAAAGGGGGGGGTGCCATGGGCCACGATATTTCAGCTGGCCAGTCAGCCCGACGAGGCGGAACTGCTCTGCAGTCGCACGGTGGTGGTAGTGGCAGCGGCGGCTCCTGCTCAAAAGCCTGGCGGAAGAGCTCCGTCTTGCAGGCCCTGCAGAACTGTACCAGGTCCCGCAGGGCCCTGATCTCCTCCGGGAGCTCATTCCACCAGGTAGGAGCCGCCACCAAAAAGGACCTAGCCCTTGTGGCTGCAAGCCTGGCCTCCTTGGGGCCCGGGGTCACTAGGCGGTGTTGTGACCCCGACCGAAGTGCTCTTTTGATTAATGGGATGTTATTTATCAGGTGATATTGTTTACCTCCATGCCACAAAATGTTCAGTAGTCTATTTCCACACATTAATCCTCTAGACATTTTTCTCCACGCCAGTTGGTAACTGTAAATTCAGCAGGTCAGGCCCTACTTTAAGAAAAAAGAACATCTGTTGGTTGTGAAGAGCACAGGGCCTTTAGTGTATTTAGTCCAAGGCTCTGGAATGCCTGACTTAATAATGTGCGGAGTTGCTTCTTCCTCTTTTTTCTGATAGGATGCAACATGTTTTGTGCATGCAAGGGTGTTTTCCCTGAAGAGGCAAAGCCTAGGAAAAACTTTTTTAAAACCCTTCATTTTCCTTCCCTATAGGAACTAAGCCCACATACCTGTCACTGGAATAAATGCACATTCTTCCCATTTTTCCTCACCTTCATCTTCTATCCCCTCTCTTTATCATCTTCCTTCTCTCAAATTTTAGCGTATAAGCTCCATGAGGCAGGGATTTGCCTTCTTGTGCTCTGGAAAGCATCATACACATTGACTGTTCTGTAACAGAAAACCTGCCATTTGATTCAACTGACTAAAAAACAAACTGGGCCTAAACTAATGGGTTTCAGTAGAATAGTTTGTGTGAACAAAAACAGGAACCCCATGGCACCTAAAAGACATGTTTTGCAGCTTAAGCTTTTGCATGTTCAAGCCTTTTTGGTTTACGCTGATGTTGTAAAGCAGGCCAATTGCTACCACTAGACTGCTATGGAATGGAAAGAAGAAAGATACCCAAGTATTATTCTCTTTTCAACTCATGGCGCTGGGGGGAATAGATAGCAAACAGGAGCCCGCACTTCAATGATCCAGTAAATCTGGATGATAATCTTGTGTATACGCCAAGTTTGAATATAAAAACTATTCGCAAAACTGCTCACAATTGTTTGTACTATGAATGAGTTCAATACTATGAATGTGCTTTGAATTATTCCAGTAGTCCTTTAGCTTTGCCTGCCTCACCAAATACAGCAACTTACCTGCCTTCAATTTTCTCCTCCTGCGGTAGCAGAGAGCAAAAGTTCCTAACAAAGGCAAAGAAGAGTCAGCAGTGATTGAGCTGTGTTTGCAGTGAACCTCTTATCCTACCAACAAAGACTGACTTTGGTGTAGTGGTTAGGAGCGCGGACTGTAATCTGGGAGAACCGGGTTTGATTCCCCACTCCTCCACATGCAGCTGCTGGTGTGACCTTGGGTCAGTCATAAGTTATTTCAGAGCTGTTCTCTCAAGGGCAGTTCTCAAGAGAGCTCTCTGAGCCCCACCTTCTTCACAGGGTGTCTGCTGTGGGGAGGGGAAGGGGAAAGGATTGTAAGCCATTCAGAGTCTTCTTCGGGTAGTGTAGGGCGGGGGTATAAATCCAATCTTTTCTTCTTCTCTGGGCTAGAAGTTACACAGGGCATTCCTTTAATGGCTGACTTCCCCTTTCCTTCCTCCTTTTTTACAACTCTGTAACAGAGTTCACAGGCTGAGGGCCACCAGAGCTTTATGAGCAACCTTCAGGTCACAGTGGCACCTGGAATTCTTGGGGCCTGGGTTAGATTGTCAGACTAGGATCTAGGACACCCAGGTTCGAATCCCCATTCTGCTATGGAAAGCCTGCTGGGTGACTAGGGATCAGTAACAGGGCCTAACCCACCTCTCCAAATTGTGAGGATAAAATTGAGAAGAGAAGAATGGGGTAAGCAGCTTTGAGTCCCCATTGGAAAGAAAGATTGGGAATAAATGAATTAAATAAGCAGAAAAAGCCCAGTTGCCTTAGGAGTAGTGGGTATTTTGTTATAACACTAAAATCTTCTATTCCAGATATGTGGTAGTTGGTTTAAATTGGCTGCAGGCTGTGATTAAAAGATGGTGGTCAGAACTTTCTGCCCATACAGAAAAGATAGAGGATGGGTAAGTCGCACATCTTAAGCTTATTATTACAATGTGTAGCATTTAATGTAATACTTGTATTTTAAGTTACATTGACTCCTAAGCAGGGAGTTGGAATTATACTTGCAGAGTGTGAATATGTAGTTTTCATAAACTTGTTATTGCTTGGAAGAATAAACAAAGTCAAAATTAGACGTTCATGCTGCAAACATTTATTTGATTTTTGGTTCAGTTATTCTACAGGGTGTGCTTTTTAGTATACCAGAATTTGTGTGTGTGGGGGGAGTGTTTTAGTCCTACCCTTGAACCTGATTCAGAAGCTTCAGCGGGTAGAAAATGCTGACTGGGATGTCTGTGTGGGCGCACATTCAGCCAGTCTTGTGCCAACTGTTGATACCAGTTGATTACCAAGTCAGATTCAAAGTTATGGTACTAACCTTTAAGGCTTTATGCGGCCACGGACCAGCATACCTGTGGGACCATTTCTCCCTATATATGCCCCGAAGAGCCTTGCACTCTTCTGGCCAACACTGCCTTATAGTCCCCAGCCCAAAAGATGTTTGTCTTGCTTGGGCCAGGGCCTTTTCAGCCCTGGTGAAACATACTCCCAACTAAGATCAGGGCTGTGCAGGATCTGTTGTGATACGGCAGGGCCTGTAAATCAGAGCTGTTCTGCCAGGCCTTTGGTTAAGGCAGCAGACATCAAGGAACATCAGCCTCAATGACTCCATGGCAATGTTACATTTATTGGTGCCAGGAGTGGCTGAGCTGTTCCATCAGAGTAATCCACTGCCTTCCCTGGCATAAACTCAGTGTATGCTAGGATATTACCAACTGCCGAGCTGCCTGTCAGGTAATTTTAATTAGGTATTTAAGTGTTAAATTGTTGGAATTAATGTTTTTAATGATTCAGTGTTTTTATGGATCTGTTCAATTGCTGATATGTTGTGAGCCTCTCTGAGCCTGCTTGTGGAGTAGGGCAGGATATAAATCTCCATTATACCCTATGGTCCCCATTGGTCCCTGTAGGGTATAATGGAGAATTGATTTGGGGCTCTGGGGGAGCTGTTTTTTGAGGTGGATGCTGGTGTTCTCCTCAAAAAACCCAGCAGGTTTTAAAAAGATAGGACCAGGGGGTCCAATTCTATGGGCCGCCAAAGAAGGTGCCCCCATCCTCCATTACTTTCAGGGGGAGGGAGTTCTGAGCTCACTCGTCTTTAAATGCCTTCTCATAGCTGCGCCTGAATAAAAGCCAAATAATATGGCTAGCTGAAAAGAAACTCTTAATTTCTTTTTGACTATAGTACATGCTGAGCTGACATGTATCATTCCATATCTATTTCTTTTTCTACTAGAAATATTCAGATTTTAAAACAACAATTATGTGGATTGTGGGGACAAGAAAATCATCTTACTTTGGTTCCAGGATATACGGGTAACATAGCAAAGGTAACCTATTTTCAATGATATTTATTAACCAAAATAATTAACAGGTTATACAAATTTGATAGCAAGCTGCTTGTTTAAAATATATTTGTTTAAAATATATTAAAAAAAACAAAATAATTTGTTTAAAATATATTCAGTGAATTAGTCAGTTGGAAACTCAAATTGACTATTTAGATATCAGGCTCAGTGGTTAAGACGCTGAACTGCAGGCCGGAAAGGCGGTAGTTCAGCAGTTCGAGACCTGAGTGCTACATGACGGAGTGAGCTCCCGTCTCTGGTCCCAGCTCCTGCCAACCTAGCAGTTCGAAAGCAATAAATTGCAAGTAGATAAATAGGTACCACTTTGGTGGGAAGGTAACAGTGTTCTGTACACCTTGGCGTCTAGTCATGCCGGCCACATGACCATGGAAACATCTTCGGACAGCGCTGGCTCTTCGGCTTGGAAACGGAGATGAGCACCGCACCCTAGAGTCGGATTCGACTGGCTTTTGAGCAAGGGAAACCTTTACCTTTAGTGTTAATATGTCACCCTATTTTTTTTATCTGGACATGGCGCAGGAGACATTGTGTTAGCTTATCTTTTTATCACCTTATCAGACTTGCCTATTGTCACCTTTCATGGTGACTCATTGGGACAGTCGAAATACATCTAGCTTGTGCCTTTGTGCATCAGTTCTCTTCTCCTTTAGCTCAGTTTTTTTTGTCCCTTGGTTCTTTGCCTGATCATCATTCTGTTTTGTACGTTCCTTCCTGTGTCTTTTCCATGATGTTGGCCCAGGATTTAGTGCTACCCCTACCCATCTTGTTTTCTTTGTGTGCTTGGGCTTCGTTTTGGAAACAACATGTTCCGGAGGAAAGGAAATTTTTTAAATAGAATGAATTTGTTTTCTGGATTATTAGAGAAGAGCCAAGAGTAACTTTAACTTTAAAACAATCCTGGAAAATAGGTCAGTTATATTGTCTCCATAAGAATGGGGACTGAGCCAGAGAGAGGCTTTTCTAAGATCTTCTGGTGAGCTCATGACAAAGCAGCATTTATTGAGTTGTATTGAGGGCTTCCTGAGTCCTAACCTGTTTTAGCGAGTATGCTGCGCCAACACATGGAGAGTCAGGCATGGGGAAGAGGGGAGAATCTGTCCTGGTCGACACACACAGCTGGGTGTGTCTGCTGTCTTATCTGCTCTCTGATGCTTTTGGGATTGGTGGGAATGCAGACAACAAAAGAAGCATGTTCCTGAGTTTCTCTGATAGCTCTGACCCATGGCCTTCGTGCTGTTCTAGCATGAGCAATATAGGAGGGCATATGGAGGAGACAGGGAGATTTCCCAGCATGTGTGCAATTCTGTCTCCTTCCTGCAAAAGCATCTGTTGCTGGAAGAATGAGTAGGATGCTTGCGGAAAAATTGTGCTTAATGTTCTATAGTAACTCAACAGCCCACTCTAAAGAGCCTTGTACATCAGAAGAGGCAGTGCACCAGCCAGTGTGCAACACTTAACTCCATGAGAATGCTTAGGTGTGATTTTTATCCCTAGGTACCTATGTTAGGACAGGGACAGGATCTGCCATCCATGTGGATTTTTAGAAGAAAATGTTACTTGAGCAAGATCAGACATTCCTGTACAGTACAGTCCACTAAATCATTCTAGAAATATCAGTGTGGATGAATAATCCTGAAAATGTGCTTCATGTCTGGGGGCAAGCACCACTAGGCAAAAGTCTTTAGAGGTGTAAAGGATCAGGAGTAGCCTACCTACGCTTTTACTGTGTGCCATGATTTCCTTTGAATTAATGTAATTGACTTTCCTCTTCTACTTTTTAGGATGTGGATGCTTATTTATTACAGCTGCACTGACATTCTTGGAGAACATAGTACGTGTATGCGTGCGTATGTAATTGTGTTGGCTAAAAAAGCCCTTCCGATAGCTCTCAACAGTGTACTACTTTGAAAATGACACTTCTTTTTAAGAAGAACTGTTTTGACAGAAGAGGACTAGACCTTCAGTACTGTTTGCTATAACCACTAAAAATCCATCTGCTTCACATTGAAGTGGAAAAATTTCTAATAGGAGCAACTTTTACTTCAGTGAGGTGAAAGTGCACTATGAAAACTGTACATAACGCCTTTGCTGCATTGGGGGATCTGTTCAGTTAATTGATGAAGTCATGAAAAGCTACTGTTTCTTCTACATCATTGTATAAAATATCAAAGCTTAATCATGAAGATGGGATTACAGAACCAGTCACTAGGAACCACAAGAGACCAGTCACTATAAATACTTTTAAACTGTTTTTTGCATATGAACTGTAAAATGTTTTGTATATATGTGTATATATATTGAAAAATATGTTAAACTTAAAAACATTGATCTGCTGTATTAAAACTCTGAAATGTCTGCTATGTTAATCAAGGCATTAAAGACTATTTTTGTTGCACTCCTGAGAAAACTATATATAGCAAGAGGCTGAAAGCTCTTTATTAAAAGTCATCAGGGTAGTGTTTATACACTGTGTACAAATCATTTTGAAACAGTTTGTGTTCCTAAATATTTAAGTGAATAATTTCCACTACAAGCATACTAAAAATTTAGGCAGAGGAAAAAACTTGTCAATATCAACAAAGGGGAATCTGTTTACTCAGCATTTTTAATACATACATTTTCTAACTCTCTGTTCTGTAACTCTTCAAGCTACATGCATTTTCAGTGTTGCTACTATGCTCATTTCTAAAGTTATGTTCAAATAATTTTACATGGGTCCATCACCCTACCAGGAACCTCATCTGCTGTACTCCAGATACTTTTATCTCCTGCTCCAGAAATGTTTACAGCCAAGAGAAGCCTGTGCTTTTCAGAGTCAACACAGCATATGCTACCTCCTGGACAAATGTTGCTGGGGATCTTGCAGGGGTACTCACCCTATGGCTGTTTTTCTCAACAATTACTCTCAAGTGGAAGAACAATGCAGTACTTAAACACAAATGTTTATAGCTGTATTTTGTCCTACTAACTTTTGATTCTGCTGTGGTTTACCCTGTTTTATGTAACTAGTAAATGTGCTTATCCAAATAAAATTCTATGAAGTGCCAGATGTGCACAAAAACAGACGTATTTTTACAGTACAATCAGATTCATTGTTGGATTAATTTTTATTAAATATGACTTGAAACTTTTACTTCAGCTGCCTCTGTGTATGAAACTGTAGTGTGTTATACAGAAAAAGCCCATCAGTCAAAACAAAAACAGATTCCTCAATGAAAACATTTTTTCTGACATTTTAAAAGCTGGGGAACAAAGTACGTGTGGATTTATTACAGTATTATTCACCCCACACATACATGTACAGCAGCCTCCTGTAACAATTGTCCCCCACTTCCCGAGGCAGACTGTTCCACTGCTCAACCACTCTTAGTTAGGAAGTTTCTCCTGATATTTAGCCGGTAACGACTCCCTTGTAATTTCCACCCATTAGACCTAATCTTGCAATCCGGAGCAAGAAAGAATAGATCCACTCCATCTTCTACATGACAGCCCTTCAAATACTTGAAGACTGCAATCATGTCCCCTCTAAGCCTTCTCTTTCCCAGGCTAAACATACCCAACTCTTTCAGCCTTTCCTCATAAGACTTGGGTTCCAACCCTCTCACCATCCTGGTTGCCCTCTTCTGGACACGCTCGAGCTTGTCAACATCCTTCCTAAAATGTGGTGCCCAAAACTGGACACAGTACTCCAGGTGAGGCCTGACAATAGCAGAATACAGCGGAATAACCACCTCCCGTGATCTGGACACAGTGCTTCTGTTAATGCATCCTAAGATTGCATTAGCTTTCTTCACAGCCACATCGCACTGCAGGCTCATGTTTAGCTTGTGATCAACCAGAACACCTAGATCCCTTTCACAGGTGCTGCTGTCAAGCCAAGTCCCTCCCATTCTATATCTGTGCCTTTGATTTTTTTTGTCCCTAAGTGTAGGACTTCGCACTTATCTCTATTGAAATTCATTTTATTTGTCTCAGCCCACTGTTCCAGCCTATCTAGATCATTTTGAATCCTGACTCTGTCTTCTTCAGAATTAGTTATCCCACCCAGCTTCATGTCATCTGCAGATTTGATGAGCATCTCCCCTATGTCTTTCTCCAGGTCATTGAACAACACCGGGCCTAGGACTGAGCCCTGCGGCACTCCACTCGAGACTTCCCTCCACGTAGACCCATTTACAAGCACTCGGGTACAATTTTTCAACCAACCATGAATCCATCCAACAGTTGCACCATCCAGCCCACACTTAACCAGTTTATCCTCAAGGATATCATGAGAAACTTTGTCAAATGCTTTACTGAAATCTAGATACACTATATCCACAGCATTGCCAGAGTCAACCATTTTAGTAACTCTGTCAAAACAGGAGGTAAGGTTGGTCTGGCATGACTTATTCTTGATAAACCCATGTTGGCTACTACTAATTAACTCATTCCATTCAAGGTGCTCACAGAGTGTTTAATCTGCTGTAGAATTTCCCCAGGTATTGATGTCAAACTGACAGACCTGTAATTTCATGTGTCCATCTTTTTTCCCTTCTTGAAGATTGGGACAACTTTCGCTCTTCTCCAGTCTTCCGGCACAACACCAGTACTCCAGGACATATCAAAGATTAGAGCCAGAGGCTCTGAAATAACATCTGCAGTTTCTTTTAGCACCCTGGGATGCAAGCCATCCGGCCCTGGAGATTTGAAAGTATTTAAGGCAGCTAGATGCTCTCTAACCATTTCCTTACTTACTCTGGACCGGCAGTTCCTCCTTTCTTCATATGCCCTGCATTCTCCAGTTTGTATATAGCTCGCCTTATGGTTAAAGACCGACGCAAAGTGAGAGTTGAGTAATTCCGCTTTGTCTTAATCCCTTGTTAAGGCTTGACCGTCTTCCCCAGCAATGAGCTTACCCCATCACTGTTGTTCTTTTTGCTCCGAACATAGGCATAGAAATTTTTCTTATTTTTAGCATCCCTCGCAAGCCTCAGCTCCATCTGCGCTTTAGCCTTTCTGACACCATCCCTACAGATTCGAGCCTGCTTCTTGTACTCACCCTCAGTAATCTGTCCCTCCTTCCATTTCCTATACATTTCCCTTTTTAGTCTCAGCTCTTCAGAGAGTTCCTTGTTCAGCTACCTTGGCTTCATTGCCCGTCTCCCACCTTTCTTTCTTACTGGAACACTTCATTTTTCAGCATCACCCAACCTTCCTTTGAGTGCAGCTTTCACTTCACCTTCTAATACTGCAGGTTCTTCTTAAAAATATTCTTGGAAGGAATCTGCCAAGCTATACAATGTTCTAAAGTGGGCTGTGCAAAATATGTTTCTGTTCATCTGGACACAACTAGGGATGTGTGTTTTGCTATGGGGTATAGTCATATATCTGGTATGACTATATACCTGAAAAATACTTTATTAGTATTTTTCGGGAAAACATGGGTACCTGGAATAATATTCAGAATTTCTGGGAATACCAGTGCCTGGGTTCCCTATATTTCTTGAAAATTACCGGGCAGCAAGAAGGTATCTCCTGTCCATCATGAATCTTACCTGGCTTGGGAAAGGCAGCTGCCAGCTGGCATGAGCCAGGCACAGGGTTCAGAAGAGCTCTGAGTCTGCTTGGCTCCTTATCTCCCTACTTTTGGGGGCCTGGCCCTTTTGCAGGGCTGTTTCTCCTTCCCAGTCTGTACCTCTGCTAGTAGGTGACTAGGGGCACTTTGTTCAGAAGGCTGTGAAACTGGACCCCTTTGTCTAATTTGCTTGAATGGGGGGCGTCATTACTAGACAGACACCACTAGCTCCCCTGCTATTTTAGTGTCATTTAGTTAAAAAGCACCCCTCCAGCCCTGCCCCACCCCCCCAAAGTCCCTCATGGGGATTAATGGAACCCAAATTCCAGAATCCAAGGAAAACCATAATCTAAAACAGTACTGGGAGACCAAAATACCAGTATTTACACCCTTCCTGAAATCCAACTCTGAAATATCCTGATAGCCAGTTCCTAGGCAAAATATATTGCTTAAAGAGTAATTCAATTTCCTTGAAATCCAAGGAGAGGGTTCTGTCTTCATGGTTTTCCTTTAATCTTCATTTTTTTACAATTTTCTGTGCTGTTTTTCTCAAGTATTCAGCCAAGCCAATTCAAAATTATTAAAAACTAGTAAAATATTTTGATAATTATGGAAGTATTACAGTCTTAATAAGGCAAAGAATTAGCACTGTTATGTTTACAACATATCATTAAAACTTTTCTGTAAAAGGGAGACTGAGAGGGTCTTCTAACAGCATGAGGACTATGAGTGGACCTCTTGAGGAGAGAATGCCACAGGATCAAGGCTACAGGTTCCTAGCCCTGCACTCTACCAGTTCTTGTGGTAAGGATGCCTTAATGAATGGTGGTGGGTAGTTGGAGGGGCAGTTCTTAAATATCCAGGAAGCAGGACATTAAGTAGCCAGGCCTGATGTCTAGTAGCATAAGAAAATGCACCATGTTTACTCATCATGAGACTGCAGATTAAGTTCACTAGCTGGCCACAATTTAAATTAGATTGGTGAAGCAGACTACCACAAAACCTTATTCTGCACAGAGATACTGAGAGGTCAACATAGATTTGATATGAGTTTGATTTATAAGAAGCCTGGTGGTCAACATTGTCAGGAAGAACACATTTGTTCAGGCTTTATTAGGACTTGCATTTCAAAAACTTATGGACAGAGAGATTACAAAGGGCCAAATTGGAATATACTTCTTGAGCCAAAGACAATTGTGATGTCGCTGCAAAGAACAGTATGCCCAGGGCCTATAACACAATAAATACTATCAGTAAAAATGCTAAATGATTTCTTCTATTGTAAGCTTTAAGAATAGGTGCACAAAATAGCTTACAGCTTCCTCAGCTATCAGCTGCCACCCTGTCGTCTAAAAGAGATATTCAGTACCCTGAAATGCCAACCCAACAGATGGTGCAGTGGCACTAGAGATTTATGCCAGTAGCCAAACAAAATGCTTCAGATGGAACTGTTAGAAGAAAGAGCTAGTTGGCAAGGGTGGAGAGAGGTTATGGTCATATCCTTGCTTGCAGTGCTTAAATTTTCCTGTTGTATTCCATGGTGCTGTTTTGAGACTGAAGGTTATTTCCTGTCCTCAGCAATGTGACAGGAGTCACAGTGATAAGAGTCCAGGGTATCAATCATGAGACAATGGTTTGTCTTCACTGTCTCCAAAGGGAACAAGCTGTTTCTCAGGGTAAATACTGATGTCTTATTTCATAATTATATTGATGCCTAATGGGTAAAGAAAAAGTATAGATCAGCGCTGGGATGATTGCTATTGCAGCATGTCTTCATTGTGTGTTAAGTTCCTGGAGAACAAGATTTACCACTGATGCACAGCATACATGGGCATGGCAGGAAGCTGTGCTGCCTAATTTGCTGATTGTTGGACATATTTTTTTTGTTTCCCCCAAAGGGGGTGTTTTTTTATTGCATTTTCTAATAATTACACACTAAAAACTACAAACAGAAAATCCAGGGAAGGAGAAAGTCTATATTTCATCTATAGGAGAAAGTAAAGAAAACCCTCTAAAAACCCAAGAGATGGTGATCATACATACGTTTACACATTTACCTTTAAACTTAAACACAAGTTAACTTTCGTTGAAAATGATCATCTATCTAATTAAACATAACTGTTTCATCAACATTTCTCATTTCATAAAAAGATTGTAGAACGTTATACATTAAACTACTTTTTAGATATTCCAGAGCACATTGATAATCTATTTTTCCCCCTTTTCTGTGTCTCAACTGATAGCCTTGTTTAGGACCTGCCACCCCCAATTTAGAGTCAGAGTATTCCTCAGAGGTTCCAGCATCTCCTTCTTCCTCGCTGTCTTTGGCATCACTGGTCACACCTTCTCCTGTTGGACTGCTATGTTGACGCAAAAATTCACAAGCCTTTTCAACAGAGTCAATCCTTTCTTTACCATTTGCATATCTGAAGATTAGACCCTCGGGTGTTAACCATTTGTAGGCAACATCATGCTTTTGTAGAAATAGAGTCAAGTCTATATTTCCTTCTTTTCCCTCTTATCTCAAATGGAACATCTTTCAGTATTCTTATATCTTTGTCTTTTATCTTCAAGGTAGCTCCATTAGATGCTTTCAATAGTTGATAGCTCACTTTTCTTCGAGAGAATCTTATTGTAACTTCCCCTGGCAGATTATTCCTTCTAATAAATTCTGAATATGTATCTATTTTGCTTTGAAGTTGATCCAATGTCATCTCTGCTCCGGGTGCAAGCGCATCGCTAACAATCTGTCTCAGATTCTCTCCTTTCTCTTCCTAGATCCCTTGAAGTCTCAAGACATAGCTTGCTCTTTCCATTTGTAGCTATAGTACTCAAGACTCTTCAATTTGGCACTTTTTTCAAGTGCCTGCAGTTTTTTGTCCATCTTTTTTGAGTTGGTATCAATCACTTTGAGCTCTGTTTTTTCTATTTTCTGCGTATTTGTAGTCATTTGTGCTTGCTGTGTATCCAGCTTGTTATCAATTGCCGTAATTTTTTCCAAAAGGGGGCGAAGTGCTTCCGACAAGAGCCTTTGAAGTTCCGCTGTAGAGTCCTGCCTAGAAGCAGAACTCGCAAGGCTGGAGCTTCCGGGAAGAATCTTTGCTTTCGCTTGTTTGTCTCTAGAGTCCTTCGCTGTCAGCGGCGCCATGTTTGAGAATTGTTTACTTTTATCAAAAGTTTGTCAAAGTCTCTGGAAGTTCTTTTATAACGCGGTAAGCTCTTACAGTCTATTTTATTCCAATCGCTTTTTGTGACAGCCCCCCCTTTTGTAGCTTAAATCACCTGTAAACAGTTCTTAACAGAGAGGAGTTGTTGTCCCCTCGTTTTATTTTGGGAGGGCCCTGCGTTTTTTCGTTGTCTCGCTTGTACTTAAACTCACATTTTCAACCATCGCTTGCCTGTGTCCAATATCACTTGATCACCAAACGCTTGATCCGGTGTGCTGATCTTGTTCCCATGCGGGACACTCCACGGTGGGACCATTGGGGCTTGGAGTAGCCCCCCCTCGCTGGCTTTTCTCGCTGGGGGGGGCTCTCTAGCGCCCCGTGGCTGGGAGCCCTTCTCCTGGGCTCCTGGGGTGGCATGGACAATCGCACCCCCTCCCAACCCTGGGCGCTGGTAGGCTTCTCCTGGAGGTCCAGGAGAAAGCTGCTGCCAAGGCGATCGCCAAAACTGGAACTTGTTGGACCTAATTTTTAAAACACATGCAAGCAACAAATAGGGGTAATTGTTGGGCCTGTGCGATAGAGAGTGTTGCTCCTGATATTCCTGAAGGAGCTATAATCACCCTCTCACCACCACAATTTTAACGTATAAAGCTTATATTAACATATGGCTTATTGTGTGCTTCTTTTTGCTACCAAAGGCTTTGTGGAAACACTACAGATCCTTGATTGGAGCAAACTTTCCCTAAACCTGTAGAGCCATAATCATTTAATGATTTAAAACAAGGATATGGGAGGTACAAAAAGAGGATCTCTTGCCACAGCAGATGACCTGGAAGCCCAAGCAAAGTCTGTTGTTCCATTTGGAAGACTCCTTGGGGCTGTCACAGCCTTGAGGAATTTGACAAAACATCACCTTGCAAGAGAAGCTTGAGAGTCAGTTCTCCAGCTTGCAGTTTGGCAGGTGCATCTCTGTAGTCCAGCTGGCTTTAATCTGTTATTCTGTAGTGCATACTACAGGATATCATGACAGGGCCCCCATTGTTAACCACAGGTAGGGAGTATGTTTCACACTGGTGACATAACCACTATGGAAGTTAAAAAGCCTAGTGCATCAAGCACAAATTAAACCAGGAAAGTTTCAAATTGTATATATGCTTACAGTTCCAGATGTGCATGTTTACAGGGTTGCTATTTACTTTGGTTTAATAGTAAAGAGCATTAAGTTCGACATAAAGAAAACATGGGATGGGGTTATGCTTCACTTGAAAAGCTAGGTTCACAGTTTGGAAGAGCTGCTCAGCACAGCAGAAACCTTTGGAAACCAGAGGGCTCCTTTGAAAACCAGTGGTTTGGAGTGCTTTTGCCAAGCTTTGACTGGCACGCCAACAGCATCCATTTCTAGGTCAGTCAGATCTAGCCAGTGATCCATGCCTTAGTTGCATCTAGACTGGACTACAGCCCTCTGTCCTCTCCCAAAGATCAGCCCCAAGAGTCCAGAGAGACCCTCCCTCCTGAGAGCAAGAACTTTTATTAAACCTCTGACTCCACCCATTCTACATCACTCTCCACCCCCTTTTGCCCTGGTCCACTCAGGTCACCCAAGTGGACCCTGGGACACCCAGGTGCATCCTGGGAAATCTCCAGGAGTCACCTGGAGATTCCTAACACCAAATCCCTCAGTTCCTTTGCAAATAAATCCATTTACATAACTATAGCAGGTAATTGCCCTAGCTTCCTGCCCTTCCAGGGAGAAGAGGAAAAAACCAGGAACACCTTAAAAACTCAGAATGGGGAGGGGCGGTTTCTCCACACTGTAATTCTTAGTAAATCTCACTGAAATGAGAGTTACTCCTCAGCAATACTGCACAGCACTGAGCTGCATGAAGTATACATTCTTGCTAAATTTCGTTGGGTCTATCTATAGGTTTCATTTTTTGAAATGGTGCAACAAAAGGCAAGGCAAACTTTAGAGGCATCTCCTGAATTTTCAAACCAGGCACTTAAAACCGCTCCGCTACTACATTCGCCAGTGGTTCTCATAAATGACACACACACCCCTATACGGGGATGTGCAGTTGCCGAGCAACCAGCCTAAACTTCCGTTCTCATGCTAGACTCTATTTTCTTGCATCTGTTAAAGCGAGTTCAAACTCATGAAAACCTACGCAGCACTGCCACACACAAGGGGGAATGTTCTTTTAATAATGTTTAGTTCAATACCTTTCCCTCACTGCATCTACCATCTGTTGAAATTTCTACGCGCGGTGGGTCATTTAAAAGCATAGGAGCCGTATCAAAAAATAACAGTTGTTAGTTAGAGGAGCAGAGTATTTGAAATAAAGGCATTTCTACACTGCACACAGAATTCTGCAAAATGCAAAAGAAAACCGGAAGTTCTGTGAGAGAGCCATTAAGACCAACGGCCCTTGCTTGCCACTGACACCCTCGTTTCCTCATTCGTCACAGGACTGCGCGCTTTGCTTTGGCGCATGAGCTCAGGCGTTCTGCGCGTGCGCCAATAGAAGAGAGCGTCTCTTTCTGCTCTTCTCCCTGTTCCCCATTGTTTCCATGTCGGCACCTCGCAGAGAGGCTGTAATGGCTGCCGGGCCTTGCAGCCTTCCTCCGGCGCTGCTACTCTTGCTGGCGTCCCTGCTCCTTCCTAGCTGTTGGGCTATGGAGATGGCCGGGAACGGGGAGGCTCTGGGATCCGGGGAGCGGTTTAAGATTGAGGGCCGCGCAGTGGTGCCAGGAGTGAAGCCCCAAGACTGGATTGCGGGGGCTCGAGTACTTGTGGACGGGGAGGAGCATGTCGGTTTCCTCAAGTGAGTAGCCGTGAGCCGGCCTTCGCACCACGGCTCTTCCCCTGGAGAGAGATCCCGTATGTTGATTCCGGCGCCCTCAGTGGTGTCCCCGGCTGCTGTTGCGCACGGCGACCCTGTTCTAAAGCGCTGGATTGTCACGCGGATCCCGGGGCGGGGGGGCATTCTCACTTGTGACCCTGTGAACGCGCGCTTCTGGGAACAGGGAAACCTCTTTTGTAGGTGTACCATCCTCTCTGTCTTCCGTATCTTACAAAGAGTTGAGACTAGTCTATGTGAAACCTTCAGGGCGCACTACAGAGCATGTTTAATGCCATACTTGAAGTTTTTAGAGTTGAGAAGGCATGTAGTTGTTGCTCACTGCTTGTATTGATTTCAAACGTCTTGCCCAGAGGAAACGCTCTGTAGCAACAAAATAAAACAGGAGTCCAGTGGTGCCTTGGAGACTGAGCTCTGACTCTCAAAAACTTGTGCTGGAATAAATATTAGTCTCAAAGGTACTACTGCACCCCTTGTTTGTTTTTCACTCTTCTAGGGGAGGGACAAAAACATGTCCCTTTATTATTGTGCTTGTTTTCCATTTGAACTCTGATCCCTGTTCAAGTACAGTCTTGGGTATCTTGGGTACCCCTGCTTTTTATGAGCACTAGGAATCAATCTCATGTAGTATTCCAAATTTGAGTGCTGTCCATTACTTCCAGTAGCATGTTTGGAAAATAGATTACTTTCTTAATCCCCTGGCTAGTTTGTGTATATGCTGTCACCTCCCTGCCCCCACAAAGAAGGTGTAGAGAGAACCAACTGAAACAATCAGGCAGTTGGATCATTTTCAAAAGTTCAAAAGTTTGGGACTCTTTTCCTTTTCTTTTTTTAAGATGAACAACAGGGACTATATTCCCTAACATGATGCATGTTGTGGAGAAACAGAGTAGGAACTTATCTCCAAAAATACTAGAATTTAGGTGCACCCAATAATATGGATAGGCAGTAGATCTATGACAGAAAAATGTGAATACTTCATGTAATCTGTAAGTACTTTTGGTTTGTGTTGACACAGGCTGTGCTATTGGGTGCTAGTTTAGGTAACTAAGAAAGAATTTGGCAAATTCATGGAAGACAGATCAGTGACTGCATGCTTGGAGGTAGTATGTCTTAATGCTATTGGTGGAGCAGGTTCAGAGAGAAATTTTACCCAAAATGCCCCTGCTGTGGGCCTGCAGTCTGTTAAGCCACTTCAGGAAACTTGATGCTGAACTAGATGGACCACTGCTCTGATTCAGCAAAGCTCTTCATATGAAAGTAATTAAGACTCAAACAGAAACAGAATGCCCCCCACAATACTTTCATAAAATGTTAGATTTGCTGGATTACTGCAAGCATCCTGAAGCAACATATCATTCCTGGGT